GGCCTTGGTCATTACTGGAGAGAATTCAGTAAGTCACAAATAAATTTCCATAATTCCAGGATGTAAATAAATGCTTCATTATTTCAAAGTTAGAGTTGAAMTGATTTTCTACAGATTCACAAAGGTCTCAGATTTCAGTGTTTTACATTTTATCAAAGGATGAATAAATGTCTTAACCTTCTTTCTAAGAATGTGGTTTTGTCCTAAACTGTRAATAATCCTGATAAATCTATGCTATAATCTGCATATGTCCTTCCAGCATGAACAGAGTCTAATCCCTGGTTGTTCTTCAGACTGACTGCCACAGTTTGAGTCAATAATCACGTCGTCCTGTCCTGTTTCAGTGTGTGTGCTGTCCCTGCTGCCTCACGGCCTGYTGGCCCGGTGGGCGTGTTCCCGGGCCTGTCCTGCACCCTGCAGCTGCACCCAGGAGAGGAGCTGCAGCGTGCTCTGTGACCGCTCGGCCATGGCTGAGCTGCCCACAGAGTTCCCCTGCGAGGCCTCCTCCATCACCCTGGAGAAGAACCGACTGCGGTTCCTGTCAGAGAGAGCCTTCGGTACTCTGCCCTCACTCAGGTCTCTGTCTCTGGACCACAACAACATCTCCTTCATTACCCCTGGAGCCTTCAAGGTTTGCTCAGTGATGTGTTAAAGTTTGTGTTCAGTAATAATTAAAGGTGTCCTGTGTGACACCCTGAGGCTTTTCTGAGCAGTTTTTTCTACTTGCTCAGGAAACTGCAGCAAAGAACCCACAGTTTCATTTCTGTTGTGTTTGTATGTCCCAGTGTAAGAAAATGTGTCTTTTTTAAAACAGTTGTTGGTGTATCTGTGTTAACTCAAAATACAGACGTTTTCAGAAACAATGATATCCATCCGTCTTTCCTCTGACTCTGACCAGCTCCCCAGTCCCATGATGCCTGATTCTTCCACCACCATGCTTCATGCTAGGGACAGGGTTCTCAGCATGATGAGGTGTTAAGAGTCCTGTACATTCACCTATGTGGTGGTGAGACCATACACCTGTCATAGCTCATGAGACACAGAACAGAGCTCCTGGGAAACCATCTCACTGCAGAACATCACAGCTGCCAGGGCCTCCATGGTCCCCAACATCCACCATTTGTCAACAAACCTGTCAGGGACAGAGAGACTCACTTCTCTGCAGATGGACTCCTCCATGTACACATCTGTGTATCTGTATCCAGGAGTTTTTACCAGTTGACTACCTTTATGTGTATGAAAGAGTCAYATAGATGGACAAATGTTCTTCGAACTGCTCCTCAGATCTGTCCATGTTGTTGCACACACAACAGCTGGCTTCTGAGTAGCTGAAGCAAAATGACAACGTTGCTGCCTGAGAGCATTTCTGCATGGTTTTCTCAGCAATAACACAATACTTTGCCAATACTCCTGTGAGAAAGTTTCATCTTGATCTTGTGTTAAACCTCAYCCTTATAGGTGGAGGGGATGGACACTAGATCTGAATAACACACATGATTGTTAGTCAGGGCTTATAAACTCAAGTTGTGAGGTGTTGGATGTATTCAGTATAATGTTTGAGTGAAGAGGTGTGTTTTAGTTGTTTTTTAAAGGAGTCAGTGTTTTCAACAGATCTTAGATAGGGCAGAAGGGTGTTCCACAGTCTGGGAGCCGTTGAGGAAAAGGCACAGTCACCAGGGGTCTTGAAGCGAGTACGGGGGACCAACAGAAGATTCTGGTCTTGTGAGCGCAGGTTGTGTTTGGGGTTATAAGGCGTGAGAAGACCAGAGATGTAGTTCAGCTCTTGGCCGTGTAGAGCTCTAAAAGTGAGAACCAGGATTTTGAACTTGAGTCTGAAGTGTACAGGTAGCCAGTGGAGGTCTGATGATACAGGGCTGATGTGAGAGAGTTTAGATGTTCTAGTTAGAAGTGTAGCAGCAGAGTTTTKAACAAGTTGGAGCCGGTTTAATTATTTCTGATTTAAGCAGGTGAACTGTTACAGTAAAGACTGGTTGAGATAAAAGCATGGATTACCATTTCCAGGTCAGAGGCAGGCAGGAGTGGGCGAAGTTTAGAAATGTTAAGGAGTAGAAAACAGCATGAGGTAACTAGATTTTAGATGTGTTTATCTAGTGACAGGTCTGAATCAAAATTGACTCCAGATTTCGTATGATCTTTTTAAGTCAGTCCCAGAGAGCCCAGTTGTTCTTTTATCTGAGGGATCTTATTTTCAGGTGCCAGGATCAGAGTTTCTGTCTTGCCACGGTTAAGGAGTGACAGATTGTCAGAGAGCCATTTGTTGACTTACAGTATGTGATACAGTCTGAGATCAGCTTGTGGGGACTTAACTCATTAAAGAGCAGTATAACTGCAGGTCATCAGCRTAGAAGTGATAGGAGACATCATGAAAATTGTCAATGATCTGGCTTAGGGGGCGGATGTAGAGGAGGAACAGGAGAGGCCCCAGGATTGAACCCTGTGGTACGCCACAAGTGAGTTGGGCTGRTTCAGAATAAGTTTGATTTTGAAGTACTGAGAAAGAGCGGTCGGARAGGTATGAATTAAACCAGTTTAATACAGAACCCGATRTCCCAATGTTTCTCAGGTTGTGCAGTAGAATGGWRTGATCAACAGTATCAAAGGCAGAGGRAAGGTCTAATAGGAGCAGAACAGTGTAGAAGCTACTATCAGCAGACATTAGTRTGTCATTTCATACACGTAGAAGAGYGGTTTCAGTGGAGTGAAAATTGTGGAAGCCMGATTGAAAAAGGTTGTGAATATTATTTTCATCGAGGTAAGCAGTAAATTGTAGTGATACAGTTTTCTCCAAGACCTTAGACAGGAAAGGTAATTTAGAGATGGGCCGGTAGTTGTTGAGATCTGAGGGGCTGAGGGACTGCTTTTTTAATTTGGGTTCAACGATTACTTTTTGTGAACTTCCTTGGCACACACCCAGATGTAAGTGAGAGGTTCAGTAGGTCAACAAGTGAGGGCCCCACCACATCATAAACAGTTTTTTAAAAAGCTGGGTGGTAGAACGTCAGCGGGAGAGGTTGAGGATGTCATTTTCTGGATTACAGTTCCAAGGTATTCTAAAGGTACAAGGTCAAAGGAAGACCATGATTGTGTGGGGCTGGCGTCAGGTCTGATGGTAAGGAGTAACAGGTAGATGGGCAGTTGTAGCTCTGTGCAGCTTCTAGTGGTCATATAAACAGATTCCCTCTTTGCTGAGCTTCAGACCCATCAGGTTCTGTTTGGCCTCCTGATTGCTTCTTGAACTAAAACCCTCTTTAACCTGTGCCCTGAGCTTCAAAAGATGACCCTCTCTTTGATTTGGTGTAGTGACAACATCATCTTCATCATTTTTAGTTAAATTAARAGCCTAACATTACTTATGTTGCTCACCTCCTTTCATGTTAGAAGTTTAGACTGAGCTCAYCTCATGTTGAGAAATAACAGRATCACAGATGTTTTAGTCATTTTTGAAATTCAAAAGGCTCTCCTTACAAAAACACTTTTAGTATATAATGAGACTGACTGTCAGCTGTTACCACTTCAGATTTTAGCCTCAGGTCTGTAAAAATCTCTGTGTTAGAGCCATATTTTTAACAGTGGCAGCCGTTTTGCATGGGGCTGACCTGAAAAATGAACGAGTTGTAGATGTGCATCCACTAAACACTTCCTGAAACTGTCTTTAAAATCTTTATCTTGATGCTTCACATTTAAATAATAATTTTAACAAGTTTTATTATTTGATGCTTACAAGAAAGATCATGTCAGTGGGGTAAGTGGGCCACTCTACTGCACAGATGCTGCTTCCAAAAACAACATGGTAGCTTCTGTAAACAGGATCCTGTGGCTTCATRTGTGAACTATAGAAGAACAAAGTCAATTCATCCCTGTTTTTTATGCTGCTGCAAACAACAAACTCTGAAATGTTGCTTCACTGTAATCATGGAGATCAGCTGATACTCCAGAAATATTTTACAGGGTCTGAAGTATTTTCATACTCCAGCCCTGCTCTGTACTTCTTCWGAACTTTGGCTCCAACCTGTGTGGACATGGTCTTCATGATGTCTCCTCCTCGGTGGTAGCCCTCACTATCAGAACAGTTGTTCTAAAGCATCTGATGTTTAGATTTAGTTGAAGTAATTCTGTGACTTTTGAAGGTAATGACTAAACATGTGCAGTTTTAGTTTTTAACAAGATTTTTTAAGACAAAAGACTAAATAATAATTCAAAACCATGTTTGACAGGAAAAGATTTGGTTCTTCATTTCAACCCTCATCCTGACATCTGTTCCAGGGTCTTTCCAACCTGCTGGAGCTGAAGCTGGCCCACAACGAGTACATCAGTTACCTGCACACACGGACCTTCACAGGGCTGAAGAGGCTGCTGCGCCTGGACCTGTCCAACTGTAACCTGTTCAGCATCCCTGACCGCATCTTCATCGAGCAGAGCGCCCTGAAGGAGCTGCTGTGCTTCCAGAACAACTTCAGGAGGATCCCCGGGGCCATCCGAGGCATGGAGAACCTGACTCACATCTACCTGGAGAGGAACAAGATYGAGGCCGTGGCCTACAACTCCCTGCTGGGCCTGATGAGTCTCAGGTGAGTCCTTGTCCAGGGGATTCTGATGTTATCAGTCCATGAAATGGACATTATTAGGCATTATCAGTCCCATACAATGGCTTCAGAGGGTCCCTACTGTGCCTTCTAGAATTCAGACTGTCCCAACAGTGCCTCCTAGTGGATTAATATATTACTGACAATGAATGTGTAGATAACCAAAACATATTSTAATAAATTTTTTGTGTCCGTGTCAGACTTGAACCCTGGTCTCCCTCTCAATGGGAAAACACTCTACCCATTGCCCTGTTGAGAGGCCACAATGTTGGCCTGTCGGAGCTTAGTGCCATGTCATCTGCTCTAAGGTTAACCTTGGTGGCTTTAAGCCTCTTATTAACCAGATTTTTTTATGTCTCATCTTAACCAGATAGTGGTTTTATGTCTCATATTGACACCAGTTGACAGTCAGAAGCCATTCTATGGGACTGATAACGCCTAATAACATCCATTTCATGGATGATAACATCCGAAGCGGGTGCCCTGTCTGAAGGCAGCATGTCACACAGACAGGTCACCTTCAGGTCCTACAGAGCCTAATGGTGCAAACTTACCCTCTGTCAGAGTTTAGTATGTCCTGTCAATCAATTAGTTTGTCCTCCAGACTGTGACAGCGTCAGAGTTCAACTGTCTCTGAAGGACTGTAAACCTCACCTCTGTGTCCACCTCAGGTACCTGAACCTTCAGGAGAACCGCATCAATGTGATCCACGAGAACTCCTTCCAGGACCTGGTGCACCTGGAGAACTTCTACCTGAACGACAACCTGCTGTCTACCCTGCCCAGGCTGGCCTTCAGGGGGCTCAGCTGCCTAAAGATGCTCAACCTGGGGGGCAACCAGCTGACCAACGTGTCCAGGACCTGGTTCAGTGACCTGGTTGAGCTGGAGGTCCTGTACTTAGACAGGAACCAGCTGCTGAGCATCGAGGAAGGCTCCTTTGAGAACCTGAGCAGCCTGATCACGCTGCACCTGAACAGCAACAACCTGAGCGTGCTGCCCCTCACTGTGTTCCAGCCCGTCTACTTCCTGGCCCACCTGTACCTGTTCAGGAACCCCTGGGACTGCAGCTGCTCCCTGGACTGGCTCAAGCACTGGATGGACAGTTACAAACTGGTGCGGGACATCCCCTGCAGCTCACCTGCCTCTGTTGCTGGACTGGATCTGAGCCAGGTGGTCTTTGCCAACATGAACGGCACATGTGTGGACCCTTCAGACCTGAACCTGACCACGGTGTCCTCAGAGACAGTCCCGACCACAGAGAACCGCTTCAACAGCCTCATCTCTTCGCTGCTGCAGCGGGAGCTCAGGGTGGAGCTGGGGAAYGGGTCAGAGAGCCTTCCTAACACAACCCTGCAGGAGTCAGAGGAGAGGCAGCTGTCAGGGGGGGCTGGGGGGCAACAGGCCTGGGCCAGCCAATCACTGCTCTGCTTCACGGCCATGTGGCTCATTTCTGGATTATCTGGCCTGTCAGATWCAAACTGCAGGAGAACTGGACAAAAACACAACATGGACTAGAGTTTATTTTACTGTCAACAAGATAAAACCTGGTTTATTTTTCCTTGTAAATCTGAGGGAAATGTTTTATTGTGAGTTTCTGCTGCAAAAAGTTACATTTAGTGTGGAGTAGTTTGGATTGATGCTCAACAAACAGTATATTCTGAGCTCTGACTCTCCACGACTTTAGATTAAAAACTAAATCTATTTGGAGTCAACTCTGTCTTTCTCTTAGCAAAATATATCATAAACAACTGAATG